TAATAAAATACATATATTTAAAATTCACACTGACTTTCTGATCTATTCTTACCCATAGATTTCACATATGGCTTGAATTTTCAGTTAATCATCATTGTGTATCATATACTTTGTAGGCATACCATTCAGACTGGGTTCCCTCCCTCCCGCTAGGTTCTGCCCATCCTCAGAGGCTCAGGTCAAGGTCCTTTTCCTTCTTGAGGCTTTCTCTGTTTCAGGTTACACTGGCCTTTCCTTTCTCTGAGCTCCTATTGGTCCAACAGTCCACCTCCCTACCTTTAGCTGGTAATCATTCTCTAAATGGCCCCATGTAAAGGGGTTTTGTGTTTACCCATCTAATGCATCTCTTCCACCAGGGCAGTGCCCTCCTCTGAAACCTAGTTTTCAGAAGGGAGAAAAATAAGAAGGAAAATATATTGACTCCTGAAAAAATGTAGCTGTCAAGAGATTAAAAAAACCTTCATTTATCTCCTCGTGCAAGCAATAGGCCATTTGGAAATCAGACTCCAAATGTTAACATCTTTTGTGTACGTGTTTGTCACAAGTAAGTGTGAATAACATCTCCTACGGTTTGTTAGAATAAACCTTTAAATGCACATACACCATGTCAGTTGCATCAATATCAATTTTCTCTTCTGGATCGTGAAACATTTCCTTTATGTTTAACAGGTCTTTTTTTTTTTTTTTTAAGTCTGAGACAAAGAAGGAATGATATAAAAGCTGTTAACAGACCGAATACGGTCTGATCTGTTAGCTAAAATTATAGTTCCTGGAAATTCCCTTATAAATAAACAGGATCAATATACTTAAAACCTTTCTAGATTGTTAGGACAAGCCAGAAGTCATAATTTCAGAATTCAGTTCTAGTGGTAACTGCTGCTTCTGGAAAATCAGAGAAACCAACAGTATTAATTTTTTTTCTTTTTACAATTCCAAAAAGGGATTATCCAATGCTTTTAAAAGCATATGTATGTGTAAAACACGATGTATCGGTACTAAGAGCCATAATTATTATCAAAGCAAGCACTTATACGTGCTAGGCACTGTCCTGGTACTTTTAATGTAATCCCCTCAACAATCCTATGAAGTAGGAACTATTCTTATCATCTCTGTTTTATGTATGATGAAACTTAGGTATAAAATGAGTAAGTATCTTGCCCAGGATCACACAGTTAAGTGGCAGAGCCAGGATTTAAATTTAGGAAGTCAGTATTTGCTCTAAACCACTAAACTATGCTGTACATGGGATGCTCCAAAGAAAACCAATACAATATATGGATCTGTGGAACTCCTACAGGGGATCAATTGCTGTATCTTTCTTAAAGGGATGTAAGATTACACAGCTCTCTGTTGCTTATGCACTTTGTATACTGAAAGTATCAATGAATTTAGCTCCAACCTTCCCTTCTCAGAACTTAGAGCACTTATTAATCTTCAAAATATTCCTGGACAGTTAGGAAGGTTATGTGGTGTTATCTTGTTTGAGAACTGAGGCCAGCAGAAGGGAAGCACTTACCCAAGATTCTGTAATCAGGGATGGTTCTGCAATCAGGATCAGATCTCCTGATCCTTACTGTACAGCAAACTTAGCTTTTCTGATGGTGACCTAGAAGGTCAAACAAAAGGACAGGGAAGGACATAAAATAAAAAAATATGAGATGATGTTTTTCTTTTCCATTAGTCAACACAATCTTATCACACATAAAGGACATTAAAGCTGATAAATAATGTGTTTCTTTTTCCTTTCTTGTGGCTATTATTTTCAAATTGATTGTACATATAATTTTTGACAAATTAATTTGTAGGTTTTTAAAAAAACTTCTTATTAAGGATGATTTCAAATGAATAAAAATGTGAAGGAAATATTATAAGCCTAGAAGAATCCATCATCCAGCTTCAACAATTACCAACTGAAGGCCATCTTGTTTCATCTATAACCCCACCCACTGCTCCCCCTCTCCGATTTTTATTTTAAGCTCATGGAATAGCAGACTTCTGTATTTTATTATGGAAAATTTCAAACACATATCAAGAAAAACTAATATAAGGAACCCCATATGTCTATCACTCAGATTAAACGATTATTAATTTAGGGCCAGTTTTGTTCCCTCTGTACCCCTCCCCATTTCCCCCTACCGCTGAGATTATTTAGAAGCAAATCTTAGTCATCAACGTATTTTGAAGCCAATCCCAGACATATTATTTAATCCGTATTTGCGTATGTCTCTACAAAAAAAGACAATTCAAAAAAAAACCACGATACCACTATAACGCCTAAAAAAATTGACATCAAGTCCTAAAAAAGCATCAAATATCGAATACGTGTTCAAATTTTCCCGATGCGTCTTAATCAGATTTTTACAGTTGGTGTGTTCGATTCAGGATCCAAACAAGGCCTACTCATCGCATGTGGTTTATCTCTAGCTCGCTCTCGTTCTCCATCTCCCTTTCAACCCCCCCCCCGCCTTTTTAACTTTTCAATATGGGAAAATTCCAATCTCTGCTATTTTGAGGTAATACCCAGATAGCAAATTATTTCATCGGTAAAAATCGATTTATCTCTTTCATATTCTTTCTTCTAGAGAAGAAGTTGATGGGCAGAAAAGGCACTATAATGAGCGAAATCACGTAATTTATAATTTTTCTTATTTTGTTACGCAGATATTTATTTCCATAACAATAGCTAATATCTTCGGTAGCCAGGCTTCCTATTACGTGCGTTATACGCACTATTATACATTATACGTCTCTGAGGTAGATACTATTATTATCACCGTTTTACAAACATGGAAACCGAGACACAGAAAGAACAGAAGCCTTGCCCGAGCAGGGCGTTGGCGAGCAAGAATTTGAATCCAGCTCTGTCCGCTTGTGAAGCCACTAGCTAATCCTATCTATACACGACAAGAAGACGAAATCATCGACCCTTTCTCCCCGCCCCCACCCCGAAACCTGAAACGAGAATCCAGTTCTTCTCAGCAGCCGACGTGTGATCACTGCCGTTCCTCCAACCGCCATAGTAAAGCCAGGTTTCTCTGGCAACTGATATCCATAGGCAGACACGTCACCCTGGAGGCGGGTGTATGCCCTTCAGCCAATCACAATCGCCTCGTCTAAGTTTTAGAATGTTCCATGCCCAAATGATTGGATGCCCGCCCCCACGTCAGCAGTGACACTTCGCCGCAGTAAAGGCGGGTGCTAGCAACCTGCTTCTTCACGGTTAAGGCCTAAAACAAGCCAATCACCTTTCTCCTTTGGTGCGGATTTCAGCCAATGACGTCCGTCCTCTTAGGTCCTTAGCCCGCCCTTCAAAAGCGCGACAGCCGTTGGGTCATAAGTCTATAGGGCAGAATGTTCACGTGGCCTATTTTCACGACCCAGAGTTCCCCTGACCAGAGGTTCCCCCTCCCCCCCCCGCCAAAAAAGGGAGGCATTATGGGTTTGTGTCTCCCCCCCACCCCCACTGGGAGAGGAAGTGTCTACGTGGCCTGCGGAAATAGGATAGGCGGAAATGAGCTAAGGTTCCCGCGAGTGGGGAAGCGCTAGGTCAAATCTAGGGCCACGCCCCCGGGGCTGTTGCGCAACTCTTGGAGCAGGGGGAAAAAAAGGCGCAGTGGGGATTTTAATGGCCGTGCGAGTGGGGGTAGTGAGTGCCACGGGTGCATGGCATTAGAACCAGGGTGCAAGTGCGCGAGCAAGCTCGCGTGGCCTACGGGTCGGGGCGTGAACGCGCACCAGCCCTCGTGGCGCTGGAGGTGGTGGGTGTGCGCAGGCGTGCGCTCCTGGCGTTGGGACTGGTGAGAGTGCGCGCGCGCGCTCGCGATGGTGGGGGGGGTGGGCTGCTCTAATCAGGTTCTCTACTTCTGTATTATGTTTAAAAGCTATTCTAATGAAAAGGAAAATAATTAAATAATTGGGCAAGGCGACCATTAACGCAAAGGGGCATTGTTAGAAATATGTTGTTCTTCCCTACTGATTTAATTTTAGACCCTAAATATACACTTTCTTCCTACGCTCTGTGCCAAAATCCTGTTCTAACCCACAGCCCTCCGATGGTTAAGAGCCAACCCCCCTATCCCCACATTAGCAGCTCCAAGGGGCGGCTTCTTTCAAGTTACCCAGTATCCACCCTCCTCTCCTTCCCGACCCCCCCCCCAAGTTGCGTGCAATTTTCCTGGCACAAATATAATTTTCTGTGGAGACTATCTGTATATGACAGCCTTCCTCTCCGCTAGGGACTCTGAATTTCTATGGAGGCTGAGGCTCACTTACCTTCTCCTGATCTCCGTGCACAGTGCCCTTCTGCAGGCAAATGCGCACTCGGTTAGTTTTCCAGAAAGTTCTCTGGGTGAGGTTTATACCTCTGGAGTCTGCCACTAGATGCCGCCAAATCCCAGCAAAGGATTGGCTGTTTGGTCCCTGGGATTATGGGATTTTTGTTCCCCTTCCCCCCATTCTGATTTGCTGAACTCTCTAAACGAGCTATAGGGATCATGTATATGTTTCATTCTTAGGGAAAAGTACAATCAACTTATGTAAAGAGCCATATTAGGCAGGGGACTGTGTCCCAATGTCCAAATATTTTTGCTCATTTTGTTCTTTCTTATTGAAAAAAAAAATTTTCCCTCTCCATCCCTCTCCTTTTGTCCTTGTCTTTTTCAGTCAAAGAGTTAATGAATGATCCCAGGCACTGATGCTGATGAAGATATTTTGTCAGTCAGTAAAGGTAGAAAAGAACTCAGAGGTAAAACTTGGACCTTCTTGAAAACTGTTCTTCCTTTCATCTTGAGATTTTTATCAGATATATGTTTGCACCCTATTTTCTGTACTACTGCTAAACTTTATTGTATCTTTGGAGTCAGAGACCTAACTAATTGTAAACCTTATTCCACCACTTCCTAGCCCTGTGATCCTGGGCAAATGATTTATGTTCTGTGATCCTCAGTACTTTGTATATTTTCTATATTCTAGATGCAGTGTTACATCCTTCACATAGATATTCTTTTATTCTTCACAAAATCCTTATTAGATGGGCACTACTATTAATAAATCAAACGACAAAAGTCATACCTCTTCAGTTATCAATCGTATGTACTTGTGTACACACACACACAGGAGGGATTTTTGGAGCAGTGGTTCTCAAAGTGTGTTTCCTGGGTAGACCAGAAGCATGAGCATCACCTGAAAAGTTGTCAGAAATTCAGATTCTCAGGTCCCACCTCAAACCTTTTGAATCAGAAGTTCTCCCGGTGGAGTTTGGCAATCTGTGTTATTACAAACTGTTCCAGTGATTCCACTGCACACTGAAGTTTGAGAAACACTGCTTTGGAGGGCAGAAACACAATGCTTATTTTTGTACACACCACTAGAGGGTGCTACAGAATGCAAAGCAAAATAATACTGTACGGTATCTGTTTTCAGACACCCTGCATATAATCAGTCCCATTTTACAGATTAAAAACTGATGTGTAGAGGTGTCAAATTATTTTCTCAGTGCACACAACAAGTATGGGAACCAGAATTTGAACATTACCGGCCTTAAGCCCAAGCCTTTAACAGTACTCTGTTCAACCATAATAGTTTGTCTTTCTGGGCCTCAGATATCTTGTTCCCTGCTTTGGTGAATATTGACTGAAATGTCAAGAAGAGGACAGGAAAGCAAACCAAACAGATGGAAATATTTTGATGATTTTCATACCCTTTATCATCTCCATTCTATAATAGGATATCATATAAGGGCTCATGAGTGTTTCCCTTCTTGCTTTTTAATTTCCCAAATGTTCTCACTACTCTGCAGTTATCCTTTTTTAGTTTATGTCTGAATGTCTTTAATCTGTGATGGAGGAATCAGGATGGTGAGGAAACAAAGTTGTTGAAAACCTATTATGGGCCATATATTCTCCCATCCAAGTATTAACCAGGCCCGACCCTGCTTAGCTTCCGAGATCAGACGAGATCGGGCGCATTCAGGGTGGTATGGCTGTAGACTGGGCCATATATTCTATATAGCTCTGTACCCATTAATCTCAACAATAGGCCTATAAATTAGGTTATGGTTATCATCATTTTGTAGATGACAAAAGTGAGTTATGGAGTATGTAATTATTTTTCTTTGGTCATATAAGTTGTAAGTCATGGAGCCTGGATAATTCCTTGTATATCTGACCCGATTATCCTACTAAGGTTTCTCTCCTCAGCTTTCAATCTGGTTTAGTTACTCATTAAGTAACTAAACTTTTAACAAGTTCTTTAACTTTTCTAAGCCTCAGTGTCACCATATATTAAGTGAACCAATATTTCTGCTTCATAATCTTAGATCCGCACCATCCAGTATAGTAGCCACTAGTCACATGTGGTTATTTAAATTTAAATTAAATAAAATTAAAAATTCAGTTCCTCAGTTGCACTAGCCCCATTTTGAGGGCCTAATAGCTACTTATGGTTAGTGGCTACCATAGTAGACAGCACAGATACAGAGCAGTTCCATCATCTCAGAAATTTCTACTGGACAGTACTGATTTAAAGGACACAATGTATGTAAAAGGGCCTAGCATAGTACATGTCTCATGGCAGGTGCCCAAGAGAAGTGATTTTCTCTGCTCTTCTCTTTTAGCAACAGAGCTAGGGGGTGTTCTGTTTTATTGACAGGGTCAGGAGAGGGGAGTAACTTATCCAAGGTACTGTAACAAGGGATATGTCTAGCACTGGAACCCACATCTTCTGACTCTTGCTCCAGCATCCTGTCTATTATACCCATCCTTATGCTTTATTGAGTGGGGTTTCAAGGCCAAGGGTGTGAATAGTGTCAATTAACTTTGGAGTCAGGGTGGTAGCAGAAAAAGGCAGGGGAACTGAATGCCACCTATGTGCCAGGCAGCACTGTGCCCAGCTCTTTGTATCTGTTATCTTAGTGAATCCTCACTGAAGCCCAGAGAAGTTAAACACTCACCCCAAGTTGCTCAGCAAGTAAATGTCAAAGCAAGGATTCACACTTCTGATGTCAAAGGCCAGGCTTTTCCCATTATGCCATGATACCTCCTCAAATGTGAATACTCCCCTGTCATCTCCGCTTACTAGTGAGATAAGGCTTCAGCAGATTCTTGATTCATAGTGGGTCTTCAGAAAATGGGAATTACTCTTCTTTTGAATTTGTAGCTGAACCACTGTCTTCACAATCTGTTTGAACTGGAAGGGAAAGATAGCTTAGGTCAATGTTTGTTTGGCTCCAAGGCTCAAGGCCAGAGACTATTTATGGTCCCAGCCTTCACAGGACACGCAATGGCTCCAAGAACCCAGTGGTGATTTTCAAGGCCACCATTAGCTCGTACACTGCCTTTGTGCTAATTAGAAACATGTGCCACCTGCGGGCAGACAAATTGCAGAGAAGTGTCCATTCCAGTGGAACAATGAGAAAAATGCTTTTCTTTCTCTGGGCTGTTGCAAATTCACCAGGGCAGTTGAAGAATGAATTTCAGTCCAGACTCATGCCCTCTTAGTCGGGCACCCTTGTGCAGGGTGCAGGGTGCAACCTACTCAACATTATCTGCTGGCCTTACTTGTCTTAACCCTGTGGCTAAGGCAGCTTTCCTAGGTGTGGAGGCTAGTGGTCAATCTATTCTGGAAAGCGAAGAGAGACACCAGTGTCCTCCCATGGCTTCTGGGTAGTAGATGAAATTGGTCTATTCTGAGGTTAATTTGATATTTTAAAGATTTGGTTCTGACTAGCTTATTGGATGTTTTTTAAAAGAATATTTGGTTAATGTAAAAGTTAAAAACAAAACCTAATATTTCAAGGTTAAGCAAAATGGTATTTCTTTAACGAGGATGTTTTTCTATCTATTTATACCTGCCTCATTCCATAGGAATTTCATAAAACCAGTCCAGTAACATAGTCTGGATCAATCTGGTTTGCTAGCCTGTGACACAGGGCAGAAGATGGAAATAGTCATGGGAAAGTTTTATCCTTTTAGGAGTATCTATTCTTTTCTAGTTCTTCCCTCCTCCTGTGATCACTCACCCACCCCAACTGACCCATCCATTTGACACAAAAGGGTTACTTCAAATGAACGAACACTGAGAACCTGAACCTAATCAGTGACCTCCTTGGGTGACCTTGGGTTACCAGACTTGAGTTGCACATTAATCCCTTGTTTTTCCCTTCCTAGTTAATAGCTTAGCATGCAATTT